CTTTTATTATTATTATTTTTATTATATTACATATAAATTGAAGTTTACTCGTGTCTTTTGCAGAGAGGGAGGGCTTCAATAATTTTTTTATTAGGATGCAAAAACATATTTAATCATGCATAATATTTGTTTTATTACAGGACCACAAATATTATTATATTAATAGAGGTAATAGTATCTATGTTTCAAAGAAATAAACAAGAAGTATGGCAAGTTTTGATTTGGTGCATGCATATACCATCTTAGAGAGTAAGAAGCATCCCCATCAAGACCAAGTTACAGTTCCATCTCTCTCTCTCTCTCTCTCTCACTCTCTCTCATCTGACTTGAAATGTATCTTCCAAACATACAGTTTGATTTGATGGGTTAATAGAAGCAAATTTGGCGGTGCCTATATCAATTATTGAAGAGGCAAACGTTCCCATCATCAACAGAAGTTTTTTCATATTAAAAAAGGGCAATGATTTCCCCACTCCTATTTTATCCACTTACACTTCTTTTTTAGTTATAAAAAAGGAGTGTAAGTGGATAAAATAGGAGAAAAAGGAGTGGGGAAATCACCACTCTTAAAAAAAGGTATTATTTTGAGGAGTATTGGCTACGATCGCCCGCCACACTCCACCCTTTGCTTTACAACTAGCTATTGGATTTTAATTTATTTTAACAGAAGTGGTAATTTTTATTTTTTAATTTAAGATGAGACTAAAAGAAAGCTCAAAAGGTAACGGATTTATAATGAAATGATGTAAAATTAAAAATCACTTTTCATAATTTAAATTATAATGTTTCTTTGCATAAAGATAGTCCACTACACCTTTTTGCATGACTTAAACAATTCTTATTCTTTTCTTTTTTTTGCCGAAAAGTAAGATGTTGGTTGAGATGTTTTAAGAGTATCCACCATACAATTTTCCTTTTTCTTTTCTTTTTTTATTTATTATAAAAAGGCTCAATTTTTACTAATGATTTTGATTTCGAGCTCATTTAACAATAAACCCCAAGCATAAATGCCTATCAAATATAAAAAACTCTCTAATGTGGATACACATCTTACCCGTAGATGTAGATCGACCGACGATTCTCATCTCACAACCGTACCACAACATGTATCATGCATTGTACTACAAAAGCAAAACAGAGAATGCTAGCACTAGAAGAAATTTATGTCAAGATATTGGTGTCTATTCTACCTTTATCAATCAAAAAATAATTAAATAAAAAAGAGTTTGTAGCTTAAGAGGTTTTAAGTTCGATTCTCTTCTCCTCTTATATAAAAGAAAATAATAATAATAATAAAATGAAATGAACAAAAAGAGAGTTTTTTTTTTTAAAAAAAAAAAAAACTACATATGCCGAAGTGTCGGTGCATGTAAAACATGATATGATATATTCGTTACTTGTTTTTCCATGAATGCACGTAAGATACTTTATTTTTTCAAACCCTATGAAACTGCTGCAAAGAAAATCCTATAGGGCGATTGACCCACTTTTGAGGGCAGCGTCCTTTGTGTTTGAAGGTCGGGTGGGTGAGAGAGTGAGGCTATAACCTGAAGGGGGCCCACATTGATGGGCCCATCGACCACCTAAAATGTGTCGGGAGAAGGTTTTTAGGGTTCCACGAGGTGAATTGAGGTGGGTCCCTGCAGGTGTGTTGATCCATGGCCCATAACCATATCCCTTCACACGCATCAATTATCAATCCATCCTGTCTTTTCTTTGTTTTTGGTCAAAAATAAAATTTAAAATTTTGAAAAAGGCACAAATCACAATTGTTTGCAGCAGATTTTACTCTCTAAAGTTAAACTTTACTTGTAATTAAGTGGTTCTTGACCTATGAATATCAGACTAGCCTTAGCTTCTTGGTCCCCATTTCCCTATTTGTAATAATTCATTTCCGCTGCACCATATTAACCAGCCCTGACCTCTGAATCTCTGATGGTCTCTCCCATGCAGCAATCACGAAGGATCCTACGCTTTTTTTTTCTTTTTTTTTTCGTTTACAATAATTACTAAGGCTGCTGAGCACGAGTCGGTTCGGTCCAATTACAGTTGGTTTAGATTGATTCAATTTTTATTGGAAATGCAACTTATAGCTGAACCAAACTGCACCGATTTAGTTTAGTTTGGTTTGGTTTTCTTTGGTTTGTTTCAATTTGGGGCGGAGCACATTTGGAATTTTATGGTTTGCTTACACGTGTTTGAAGCCCATTTGGAATTTGGAATTTTCCAATTCATTTCTATTATGCAACCATTCCGATATATAAAAGCAAAAAAACAAGCACACAATAATGAATCGCTGAAATTTCAGCCAGATGGGTGTTGGATAATTTTCACATCCAGGCCAGAGGCCAGTATCTTCTGAAAGCCCAACAAGATTTGGCTGTTCTATGACTTCTGGGCTGATTTGGCTTAGTTGTCCAAAACTTAAGAAGGACAGGGCCCATCCTAAATTGGACCAGTTCTTATCCAGTAGTGCTTCCTAAATAGGACCATCTATATCTCTCAGTTTTTCTAAATACGGATGTGCGATTCGAACTCGAGATCTTTTATAATGTTGAGAAATAAAGTGTCACTAGAACAAAGGCTAGTTATCGGTATCAAAATTCCATCTGAAATGAATTCCAAATGACTCTCGCCGCTCGCGGGAATTTAAAACCCAATCTGCCTTCCTTTGTCAATGTACCTTCATAAGTCACAATAATTCAATCATATGATACAATGTATTTGGAAAACAAAAAGAGTTACAAGTGACAAGCCCTCTTGTGTATAACTAATGAGTCGCCAAATAATTTTATTTTGAAAAATATGGTAGATTGTGTTAACTTCACCATAATGTTATTGTGGTTACTCATTGTCAACCCGTTTTGGTAACAGGCGGAATACTTAAGCATGGAAAACCTGACTTTAGTTCGACTTCAATGTGCATGTAATTAAGAACCATATCTTTCATCAGGAAAACAAAATAAATACCATTTTACTAACCATTGCAACTGTCTTGCAACCGTTGGATAATGAAAGATATGGTTTTCCATGTCCCTTCAACCATTGTTACTACTTCGTCTTACCAACTTACCAATGAACCATATATATAGATACCTTACAAATTTTTTTTCCAACAATCGAGAAACAATATATTTTTTAAGTCTTTGTTCATAAATCATCTTTTGAAAAAAATTAAATAAATCGGAAACCATTTAGACATCTAATGGTGTCCTATAAAATCAATGAACACAGTGCTTTAAGAAAGTACTAAAATTTTGATAATTTCTTTGAGTAGTCGAATGATATCGGATTTAAGTAATTTTTTATAGAGATGATCTTAGAATGAATATCTACAAAATATACGGTTTGAATTAATGAAATACAATGTATAGTTGGCCCTATAAAAGATGTCTCTCAAATGTCTCTCACTATACACATATAGTGTGTGTGGAAAGCAATTTCTATTATAAAAACACCGTGATTTTTATGCTCAGGAAAGCATAATTCAATGGGGGGGCCATTCCTAAAAAGAATATAATCATGCGCTTGTTTGTCAAGCTCAAGTTTATCACATGATCATATGCATGACTTGTTCGTTGCATGTCAATAATATAATCATGCATATTTACATAGCTTTCAGGTAGTTATTGGAATTGAACCACGTACTTACGTAAAACTTTTCCTTGATTATATATAATCTCTTTTTTTTTAACAAAGAAATTTAAAAACGATATAATTTTATTAGATTAATAGGAATAATAGTACACAGTTAGGATTCTTAGTATGGAGGGCCAAAATTTCAAAATCACTTCCGTATAGGTTTTTCATCTTCAACTAAGAGGGCCATCACTAATCTAATTGCAGTAATTGTATTGTTATATCATATATTTTATAATATATTACAAGAGATCAAAAATTAAATGGGGGCGCCTGGACCATGGCAGGCCTTGCTGTGGCTCCGCCCCTGATAATACAAATGACACATATTGTAAAGGGAGACATCCCAATAACAATATGATAGACATAAGTTAAACTTCCCTAGTGACCTAAGTTAGCCAAAAAAACTTAAAAGATCTGATAGGTAATAACAATATATTATCTTTTAATGCATCTTATAATTGACATCTTCCATGATATGAAACATCTTAATTTGGTGAATTTTTTTAATTGTTTTTGTGTGTGCATGCAATATTTCATGAATATCTATTTTGCGGAGAGATGAAGTATTCGATCTATTTCACAGGGAGGTGAAGTATTCGATTGAGGTCTGCACTCTGCATGCGAAGGAGAAGGTTGGTTGATTTTGATAAATTTGATTGGATGCACGTACAAGGGTGGTTGTATCCCCAAAACCCTAATGCCCTTCACACTACCTAAAAAGGTAACCAATAAAAGCAACTTTTTCCATTTGCAAAAGCAGAAGCATAAACCAATCCCAAAGTTGACAAATCAAAAAAAGGTGACCAATTCTTATTGGCATGAAAATATCGTCTTCACGAGGCTCATGAATTATAGGACCACAAATACACACACACACACAAAGGGTCACGATATTTTCTAATTTCCTTTAGCAAATGTCTTATTCTCCAAGAAACTACATAAGGACGATCCAACACCAAATTGTGCTGCTAAACTTAATTGTCTCCACCACATAGAGAGCCACAAAAAAAAGCAAATATTCACTAAAAAACGAGCCACAAGTGGGTCAATCAAATCGTCAGCTGGCTTAGCCCAACCACAAATGGAGAAAGGCAATTAAAGAGAGATGACCATATAACTACTTAATTAGGTTAAAATATCTGGAAAATCATTTTCTACGCATAAGAGCAAACAAATATTGTATAATTTTGGACCAAATCACGGGCAATTCCAAATTAGCCTACCAATAATAAACAAGTCCTTACAATTATAAAAGGGAAAAAGAAAAAGAAAATAGAAAGAAAAAAAAAAAGAGAGGACCCAAAAAAACTATATAAAAAAAAAAAAAAAAAAAAAAAAAAAAAAAAAAGAAAGACCCAAAAAAAACTATCCCAGCCATGAAAGTGAAGATCATCATATAATTGTTGCCTAACCCAGTATAGCCTTTTATGTATGTATCAAGTATTTAGCTATATATATCCATCTATACCTAAAACTACTTTATCTATTACCAATCTCCAATTCACCATATTTGTGACATAAATTAAATTAAACCATAGTGAACCTCTTGAAACTGTCCAATTGAGCAGTGTTTCGCCTATCCAGCCAAGTCATGTAGCAACTGTGCCCCCATCAAATTTCTGTAGGGCAAAGTGTTCTGGCCTTCCCCATCTAAGAGAGAGTATTGAACTGGTTGGCATTCTTCAATGTGATCTCTCGGGTAAAATAGAGAGCTCTGTGAGGCAGGAGAGAATGCTAAGCTCACCCCATTCCCACCATGCTGTTGCAACCCTAATGTCAACGACACGCCTCCACCATTGAAACCCTGATTTGGATTGTGATGATGATCATTGGCATAAGAAACTGTCCCTCCAGAGTGTTGCTGATGGTGATTGTAGGATGAAAAATCCAGCTCCATTGTCCCAAATGACTCATTTACCCTCCCAAAACTTTGTTGTGGGTGCATGTGGTGGTTTAAGAGGGTGCTTTTGCTGCTTCTGGAGTCATGGTTTTTGTCTGGGTTTGTGATGATGGAGGAGAGGCACTCGGAGTCTATTCGGACGAGCTGGTCGGGCGTGGGTTTTTGATCCTCGGGACGGATGTTTTGACCCGATCGGCTGCTGTCCCCGGGGTCTTTTGTGATCCCATCTGAGGAGGTCAAGTTGTTCATGTTGTTTTCACGCTCTTTTGTTTCTTCCAAGTACATTTCTTCAACCATGGGCTTCCATAGCCTCACTCTTGCATTAATGAACCAATTGGAGACCTGTTGAAACACCATGTAACAACAAAAGGCATCACATATATAATACGAGTGGTGACACGGATTCATATTATAATATAAATGATTACCAATTATAATATGATATAAACATAGATTATTCAACTAAACTATGGATCCTAAGAAGATATGCCCCATAATAATATAAATTAAGTGGTGGGGAAATTTGTATAATATTAGAGAGAGAGAGAGGGATGTAGACGTGCCTGGCTTCTTGAGAGACCCGTTTGGCGGGCTAAGATATGTTTATCAACATCGCTAGGGTACCTGCAAAAGTTTCACAAAACATTCTGTTACTTTCTTTTATTTCTATTGTATTGTAAACAACTAAAAATACTACTGTTACTTCTTTAGAGAGAGAGAGAGAGCTATGGTGTTTTTTTTTCCCCATGAAGTAGAATGAGACCTAGTGACCCACAAAGGAATATACAACAAAGAGAGTTGGGGGTGGGGGGCCAAGCAAAATATCAAGCAAATAAATGATTGAAAATAAAATGACGCAAAAAAATTGAAAAACTTGGAATCTGAATGGTGGTGGATAGAAACAACCAAATTGTTTCTATTGTTTTTTCAATAGCAAAATGATTGAGACCATACAAGATATCACTTGATGATCACAAAACTCTTGCGGCCTTAAGAAATTATATCAACATAACAACATCAGCGAAGTGTTTGTTGTTTTCTCTTTTCTTTTCACATAACATTGATTCTTCCCAAAAATCTAATTTGTTGTTTACTCATATAAAGACCCAGAGAGAGAAAGAGAAAGAGAGAGAGAGAGAGACATACGGGTGAAGAAAGTGTTCAAAGAGCCAAGCTCGAAGAACAGAGACTGATCTCTCAGGAAGGCCACGTTGAGGTCTCCATGGATGACTCTCCATCATGTTCATCTGCTGGAAAGCTCTCTGCTGTCTAAGTGTTTGATCAAGAATCCTAAGCCTTGGTGTTTCACCTTTTGTTGTGCCTGGAGCCACTGGATCCTTCTCTCCCATGGCTTTTCTTGTGACCTGAATCTGACTCACAATCCCATCTTTCAAGCTCCTGAAATGTCGTGACATGGCCTTTGCAGCCAAGGCTGAGTACACTGTGGCAGCCCCAGCACCAGCCACAGTTTCAAAGGACGAGACCACTGCCTTCATTTGATCACAGTAGTGCTTGTATCTTCTCTCCACCTAAAACAAGGCACACATATGATCATGATGATAAAAAAAACCAGTAGAGTTGGGTTTGAGAGAGAATCTTAAGTTATAAATTTTCCAGTATAAAAAATAAAAAATAAAAAATCGAAATATTGAATTGTGGGTATTAATTGGAAGGACCCCAAGTTGCTTAATTAGCTCAAGAATCAACCACCACCCAGTAAAAGTTTTGAACTTTCAACTGTAAATGAATAAATATTGAAAGACATGTACATGTTTACCTCTTCTAGCATTGAAAGCAGTCTGGTTTTTCTCTTCTGCAACTCCACAAATTCAAGGGAGTAAATATTGGATTGTTTGTTTCTTGAAGAACTAGTAGTGCCATTGTCTTCTTGTTCCCACAGCTTGTTTTTGTGGGGCTTTTGCATTGATGGATGGAGGTGATCAGTGCTTGGCTTGGTTCCAAGGCTACAAAACTCATTGAGAAGTTGCTGAGCAGGAGCCAAGTACTTTGAGTTTCTGAGATGGAACAGCCCTTCAGGATGAAGACTTGAAGAAGCAGTAGCTTTTCCCAAAAACCCATCTTGCATCATATTCATCTGCTGCTGCATATTTGCTGATGGTTTTCCAAAGAGCCCAACACTATCTCTTGAAGCAGAAGAAATAAACCTCATGTGATCAACATTTTCTTCATCATCATCGTCTTGTTGGTCTTGCTGATGTGGTTGATGCTGATTGGTCTGCCTCAGTTCAAAGGACTGCAACCCAATACTAGAAGGATTGTTTGAGCTAAGAGAGAGTGAAAGGCCTTGGCTTGGCCTCTCATTTCCTTCACACGGAAACACACACCTCAGAGAAGAATCATCAACAAGGAACCTATTCTCTTGCCAAGCCCCAGAGGAGTCTTGATGTTGAGGTCCTACCATTAGATTCTGATGATGATCACTACTTGTTTCTGAAATCCCAGTTGAGAAATCAGGTTGCTTGTTGTTAAACTCATGCTGGTGATGATAAAAATCAGAACTTGTTGACTCATTGATTGTCTTTGAAGAAGATGGGCCTGCTTGGTGGTTCCCTGGTTTGCCAAAGAAGCCAGCTTTCCACATAGCTGAGTTGTTGTTACTTTCATTCTGCTTTAGGAAACCTATCATCTCCATCCCTGTGGTCAAGTTGAAGATCTCTGGGTTGGAGCCAAAGTCTTGGATCTGATTGGTGAACTGGGTTTGATGAATGGTTGGGTTGCTGGATACATCAGAGTAGCAGAACCCAACTGAAGAAGAGACCATGTTCCTTGGTTTAGCTTCACTCAGTTGTCCAGCCATGAAAGTTACTGTCTTCTTCTTTCTTGCTCTCTCTCTATCTCTCTACTGCTTTTCTTTGACTGTAAGATACTCTTTTTTCTGCAATTACAATTCCAACAAGATCCCCTGCCACAAAAGAAGGAGAAACTAATTAGATTCCCAATAGAGCAGAGCTGAAGAATCAGATCAATAACCAAAATTTATGAAAAAACCAAATTAAAAGAATCACTTTGATCAGATGAACAGAAGGGACAATAAAGTTTGCTGCTTGCTGTTAAGCTAACAATATTGCATTAGACAGAAAAGAGAAGAGGGGCTTACAAAGTGCAGTATATGCATATGTTGATTGTTCAGGAAAATAGAGTAGGTGGAAGGTGGTGGGTGGTGGTGGTTTGGATGATGAAGGAGCTAGGAGGAGGAGGAAGAGAAGAAGAGTGGCCTCCTTTTTCTCAGAAGACTTCTCCTAATAAGCCAACATGGTAAGCCATGAAAGCCCAACCTAGGAAGAAAGATCAAATATATCTCCTCAGAAATAGACGATCAGATAGGGCTGATGATGACCTTCCCTAACCATGTTCATCATTTCATTTCCATCATATATGGCCTCCCTCTCTCTCCTTTTCTCTCTCCTCGCTCTCTGTCTCTCAAGTGGGTCAATGCATGATATAAATACCTCCAAAATAGACTTCCTAGAATGAGGATTCTAATACCCTCCTCCCCTCAATTATTTCCTAAAAATATTAAATTACTGTTAAACCATGAAAAACCCTTTAATTAATACAATAAATTAAACATTAAAAAAAAATTTAAATCCCTGCCTTGCAAAGTACTAGTACTACGACTATTTTTACCAAAACAGAGTAATGATCGTCCTTTGCCTGAGTACACAAACTACAAGCCGCCACATGACCTCTTCTTCTTTTACTTTAATAATTTCTTTTCAAAACTCCCCTCTCCTCTCTTCCACATAATCATAATAATAATCATCCACCAAAAATTAAAAAGAAAAAACAAAACCCAATTGCAAAATAATCATAATAATTATCATTTTATATTAAAAATCTCTGTGGGGTTGGATTGGATGGGATCAAATCCCAAGAAGTCCTTCCCATGTAGGAGTTGTTTCCAGGCTTTTTCAGATGGGTTTCAGTGAGGCTAGGCGCTTGGGATTGGACAATGGTGGCCCTGCCCTTTTTTTGTTGTTTTTCATTTTTTTTCCTCATCTTAATTAGTGGGTAAACTTTTTTTCCATGAACCAAAAAATTCGAGGAGCTTTTTATTTCACAAAATGAATGAGAGAGAGAGAGAGAGAGAGAGAGAGAGAGAGAATAGATGCGCCTAGAGTTGTGCAAAATGTTCCCAAAATAAGGGACTGTGTGTAGGATGAGATGAGGTGGTCCAATGTTTTGCCATCTAATTCTCATTAATTGGTGTATTAAAGTATCCCACCCATCCCCCTTCTCTTTCTATACCACATTACACATAACACATTGTTGCATGGGACCAGCATCTTTTCTTTTTCTTTTTATTTATCTTGATAATAAAAAAAAACAAACAAAATTATGCCTACTCCACGCGCACCCATTATTTGTTCATTTTCCACAACCCTATCACCACAATCTCCCCAAGTTAACTTCTCTACCACATGTTCTTAAGGAAATTGAAATGGTTAGGGGGTATGTTAAAACTTTTGAAAGGCCAAATTGTGATTTGGAAAATTAGGCAATAGCTAGGTTTTGCCCTAATTTGATTTGAAGGGCCTAACAAGCTAACCCCTTTTGTTTTCTCTGTCAACACACATGATATGACTCTCATTTTCAAAAGTAATTTCAAGAATCTCTAAATTTTCAAGTCGTTTTCAAAATTTTATGGGTTTGCATTTCCAAAAACATAAACTTTCATACTATTCAAATGAATTGCTTGAAAAGGTTTCCAACAACAGCTTGACAAACATGTTTCTCATTTTCATAAATAAAAAAAGTTCTCATTTGTTTTTTCTTTTGAATAATAGACAAATTATATGAACTTAGGGTCAATTCATGTGGGTTTTCACATTGTATGATTTTTAATTGAAAAATGAAAATAGATTAGTTCTACCTATCCTACATAAGAATAATCGTAAGTCGTCATACACAATAATGTGAGATTAATCTTGTTCCTTATATGAAAGTAAAAATTATATTTTAACTACCTCGGTTGAAACTCTCAAACAAAACATAATTTATAAAAATAAAAATAAAAATAAAAAGGTCAAAATGATACTCTCTTTTTTGAAGCCCGTATCCTAAAATTCACTCAAGAATAATTTTCTATAAAAAAAAAAAAAAAAAAAAAAACTTCTTTCTTTTTTTTGAAATGAAGTTTAAAATAAATAATAATAATTGGGTTGCATGCTTTTTGTATGCAATTTACTGTTATGATAGAAGAACATGTGAAGCACACGCAGAAGAGAATGAGAGTGAGAAGGCAGAGTGTCCCCACGCAGCTTTAATTTGTGGTCTGTTAAAAAAGCAGGTGGTCCTTCAAAAACGAAAGCTTTCTCCGCCGCTTGCCTTATATTTCTCTCCTCTCTCCTCTCTCCTCCTCCTTCTTACTCTACGCCTACACCACGCTGACCTCACCCCCCTCTTTTTGTCCTCTTCCCCCTCCCTCCTTCCTTCCTTCAAAATCAAAGGTACGTACTAGTAGTGCCCACTACGCACCCCTGCGTAACTTAGCGAACCCCAGTCCCCAAATGATACATCTCCATCCATCTCTGGCCTCTCTCTGCCACACCACACCAGTCTAGTACAAAACTGGAGTTTGAAGTGTTTAACTCTCAGCCTTACGTAACTTTCACTCAGATTTTATATGTTAATGCCTCAAAAATGCTTATGTCAAATTGTCAATACGATAATATATATATGAACCAGAAACCAACCATCTCTCTCTCTCTCTCTTCATGAATTTTAGGCCAGAAAAGCAATCCGTACGAACCAGAAACCAACCCTACTTTTGAAAGGTCATAAATTTTTTCTTCTGTGTGTGTTTTTTTTTTCTTTTGGGAGGGTCAATCAATTTGTTGGTGGGTCAATTTGCTGTAAACCCCATAAAAGCCGGGTGCTGTGAAGGTCGGAAAATTTTGGACCAAAGCAATGTGGTGGTGCATCGAGATTTGATTTACTGTTTTTTTTTCCTGAACTGGGTTTTGTTTTTTGGAACTTGTAACTATGTATAGGCCAGTATATAGTGTTTAGTGTGGTCCATGGTCCTTGCAATGCAAGGTAAGGTACTTGATAATAATTATATAATGTTTTTTTTGCATCGACCATCCTGCCCTGTAGTTATAGGGCACTAAAGGGCCACTCTGTGTATTGCAGCTTTTTTTATGTAGAACAAGAACAGGTTACAGTTTGTGATGTGATCATGATGAGGATGATGATGATCAAGTGCAGATGCAGAATGCAGATCCAAGGGGGGTTGATTTTGCTACTGTTGTTGAGTTATTGTTTGGGGCCTTTTGAGCCAATGGATTGGTGGGTATGGGGTGTGTGATATAATGGTTGTAGGGACAATTTGGTGTGTAGTGTATTTTGCAAATTTTGGCACTGCACTATTAGCTACATGACATAGGGTAGTCTTGGTGCTAATTGGATAGTATCGGATTTGATATCGTCTTTCTCGCTATTCATGTGAGTCAAATATATGAGATCTTTTTTAACTAAGCAGAGAGAGTAAAGCAAGCAGCTTCAAACTTGACCTCAACTTCAATTTAATTGAGTGTTGTCCACAAGCCGAATGAGTGTTAGTTTAATGATTGTCACTTAATTGTTCAAGATAGGAAACTCAATCAATTATATTGGCTTTAGCTAGGGATTGAAAATTTTAATTTCCAAGGAGAAAAAATTGATCTTCCACAAAGATTCCATTTGATTTCACCAATTTCTAGAACTTGCTTGCTTGGATCTAGTCCAACATAAACTAATATATAAAAAATTAAATAAAAAAAACCTTAATGGGTAACATCTTAAATAATGCAAGGTGGTAAGAAATAGTACTGCTAGAAAAAGGCAAGCTAGTCTGATGAAAAGCAGAGACTTCGAATTACTTAAAAAAGATGCATCCTCGATTCTACACAGTTTCCAGAATTAGCATTATTAATTACATTTTAGGGGATTAATTAACAAATCAATCAAGGCCGTGAAAAAACTATATAATCAAGGGTTTATTTATTTATTTTTCTTTTTCAAATGATTTCGTGTGCAAGAAACTATATACATATAGCATTATTATATGTGTTCTTTTCATAGCATGCGAAACGGTTGGAATATTATATTGTATGAATGTGTGTCCATAAATTATTTGACCTTTGTTACCATGGAATTGTGACAATGGTTCTTGCTTTTCCTCCCTTGTCTTTGTCATCCCTAATCATGATTCATTTCCATAATCAACTCCATCCTTTGGCATAATGACAGCTGCATATATATGAGATTAATACCTTGCTTCTCCCCTTCTTTGGCAAGCCAAAATGCGATAGCGAAGGCACCAATATTGAATCACAATCATCATTACAACTATCATTATAATCCCAAGTTAGATTATAATCATACTCTAATCAACTTGCTCAACCATCCAATCCAATCCCTCTAACTTGTTCACTTGAAAAAAATTAAGAGTTAACGGCCAATAGCAATTTAGTTTAGCAACACACTAGCTAATAGTCAATGTCCATCTTGTAGAAAAATGTCACAAATTCAAATTTCACGGATAATTGTTGTCGATCAAATTTCATCATAAAATTCAAAGATCCGCGATTATTAAAAATGGTTAGGTAACTAAAATGATTGAGTCATTTATTTGCGATTTATTCTGTCCATATCATTTCAGTTCTAGAACTGACTCTGGTCATCAGGGAAGCTTTGTCATGACCATCATATTGCTAATTGAGATGTCTCTCTCAGTTCTTTTTTAATTAATCTAGTAAAATACTATCGCTTGTTTGGTAAAAAAAATTATCGTGTGATCAAATAGATTAATCATATTAAAAGTTAAGTGGTGTGAAAGAGCAAGTTCCTCTCACTTAGACTAGAACTTCGTAGTAGAAAGCACACAACATCCCTTGTTTGATGGGTAACCATATCTTCACTATTTTTTCCATTTATTCCAACTTTGGTGGAAAGGGGACGAAGAAAATAGCAATTTGGCACTAGTGTGTAGCGCATAAAGACGACCCACATGGAAAATTTTGTTGTGGTAGGCCAGCAGCCATAATATCAATTTATAAAGGCCGAAGCATAGGTTAAAAATGGCCCTTTTCTGTTTTCATAGCCGTTAAAATTAGACATCAAAATTTCCACCCATTTTTTGTTCTTCAATGGACTGTCAAGATCTGGTTGCATGCTATCTGGGGCAATAGCCAGAAACCAATCAAACAACAACTCATCCATATTGAAACAATTAAGGGTCTAGATCGATCGATCAATTTGTTAACAGATAGAAAGAAGCTAAGTCTACTACCCCTTTCTTCTTTTATAATACAAATGAAACTGAAACAATAATGGAATTTGATGAAAACTCAACCTTAGTGAATACACCAAAATATATTATTTTTCAGCACCCTTAAATGTTAATGATATGGTGGAAGCGCATAAGATTGTCTTAATTTTGATGTTAGATCGTTCCGTTATTGTAATGATCATTTGCGACTAGTGACTTTTTGGGCTGAATTATGAATGCAATCCTATAATTTTTCAAACAAAAAAAAAAATTAATGATTTGCATGTCACAATAATGAATAAACACCAGGACAGCAATATGACCAGAGAAATCTTAGTTTCTTTTCATCTTCTTAGTCCATGCATTAATGATTTTGAATTTTGACTTTGAACATATTGGGGAAAAAGAAATAGGTTTTTTGTTATTGTAAGGCACGTACGTAGTGAAGTGGAACTTTCGTTTGTGAATTTACCACTACTTTTGTGATTCAATATCGATTATTATCTCTAAACTAAGATTCTGTTTGAAATTGCTTTTTTTTTTTGCCAAAAATCAATTTCACTTTAAAAAGGTTTTCACCATTATTAAGTATGTTTTTATTGCCCAATTGCATTTGCTTAAGGATCTAACAACAATATGAAGTAGATAAAGAAAAGAATTGGGCAAAAGTGCAACTTGGGAGGACCAATTCAATAATATAATTAAAGACATTGTCAGCCGAAAAGAATAACATAAAGGGCAAAGGTAGATTGAACTCGGAAGAGAGCAATGACATTGGGCAAAGAAGATGAAGGAGATGGCATTGAATATATTAGTATATCCTCACACACTTCTTTTTATATACATATGATATAGATAAATATATAGAGGTGCACGCCATAGAAAACATTCTCCTAGGAACCCAATTGATGTTTACCTTTTAAAACAAACATACAAAGATGAGAAATTTTACCATATATCTAACGTGTCATGCTCTCATAGTATAAATCATGAACTATATATTTGGACATGGTTTTATCTTTTCAACAAATCATAACTTTCAGTGTAACAAATTAGACTGTCTGATAAGAAAAACTAAAAACGTGTTTGTTTAAAATGTTTGACATGTATTAACATAATTGAAATATTCAAATTTAAAATTTAATACATTGTCATTATATAACAATCCATGATATCGAACTTCGGAATGTCAACCCAAATCCAAGTTTTGCTTCATTAATTTATATTTTCCTTGACAGAGGGCACCAAGTAGAAAGCATTGATCTTCTTTCTTTATATGTGTAAGATGCACATCTTTCACCAATAAATTCATAGCACCACGAGACGGTAAGGTAGCCCGGCACTTGCATAACCCAACCCAAAAGGGCACCAAGATGAGATGGTTTGATTTGAACAAGGCCAAAAAGGGCACCAAAATATTTCTTGCTTTTCCACAATTGTTCGCATACCAAAAGCCAAAAAGGAGTGTGTCCGTGTTGTATGAACGCTAAACAAATATCATATTTGAGCGTGAAGAGAAAAATGCTCCATTAGTCTTATTCTTCATTATTCTTTCCATACATACACTTTTGCAGAGCCACAGAAACAAAAACAAACAAAAAATCAAAGAGACAGAGCAATTAATAACAATACCTCAGCTTTCAATTTTCCAAGTTTGACTGCAGATACAATCGAAAGATCTGAGCAAGTTTTTCACGTTTTTGTCCTACCCTAAATTAATGTAGCATTGCATGAACTGTAGCGATGTACAACATATTCCCGAGTTGATCGAGTTTATCGTCTAATCTCTCTATTTCTTATATCTCGTTGCGTTATGTAGTTCATGAATAAAACTACAAATATCTTAGAAAATCACCCTTATTTTTTCTTTCTAAGATACCAAAGAAAGAAAAAAAAAAGATATCTAAAATATTTTTCTTTGTAATTGCAAGAAAGATGAGTCAGCAACAAGATTAAAGTCGATAAAAATGACAAAACCCAAAAGAAATAAGTAGCCTTTAGCTTCTTGTCTGATTTGCAAATCTGTCTCTTAACATGTAGACTTGTTTCGTTTTTTTCTCTCCACCCTTATATTGTTGATGGTTGAGCTGAATCTCACTAATAAGTTAATTTAGCTTGCATGTATTATCTTATACTAATCTTTTTGGGTTGGCAATCACAACAAGTTTCTCAAGAGACCTTATGTTGCTACCCTTGTTATTGGATGATTATTATTTAAATTAACCTAATTATCCAATGAAAGCTACTATTTTATGTGTATATAATAATGCTTATTTTTCAAATTAATTTAATCATATATTATTTGTTTGTAGTTTAACGCAAGTGGGACTTGAGGTTTTGGTTTCTAACCCTCTTCACATTCCTCTTCAATTTGAAGTTCTTTTATGTACATTTTTATGTAACACCTAGTTCATGGTATAGTGGTATTGCTTTTCCCAATATGAACGAGTAGATCTCAAATTTGAATCCTCTTCTGTTTGATAAAAATCTTTATCTTTTATTTGTTTAATCTTTTTTTCTTTTTTTTTTAGGACCTTTTCTATTGAGATGGGAGATAATATACTAAACTCACACACACTACACGGATGCTAGGAACTCGAACCCAAAACCTTGCCCAGAGAAGCAATTGCTCCAAACCACTACACTAGTGGGTCTTTTGCATTTTTTTATTTTTTATTCATAGGCATTGTGCTAATTCTAGCTATATATTTCCTCTAACGGTTTCTGGTTTCATAATAATATGTATTAGATTAACATATCCCCTAATAACCTTTTTATTTACTTTTTGTGTGTTTAAGCTGGGTAGAAATTGAAACCTAAAATATGCATCACTGTCTACATTAAGCATTTTGTCAAAAATCCCAAGGGTCAATCTTGAATTACTTTATTCATTGTTTACTAAGATGATAATTCAAATGGAAAGTTCTTGTTTGTTGCTACTTATACTCCTACATGCTAGCTCCTCTAAATAATCGAAAACATCTCTGTCAATGAACATCACTTTTAGCAAATAAAAAGGGCACATAGCCTTTTCCAGAAGAGTTTTATCAAAATTCTTTGGTGTTTTTACCATTATATATATATATAGAGAGAGAGAGAGAGAGAGAGGTTTGCAATGCAACTTTTACAAATGGAAGGCCTAGAACAGAGCTTGCGTATATTAGAGACAAAAACGAGGTGCAAGAATGCATAGAAAACAATAAGGACAGATTATAGGTGGTTAATTTTACAGCCCATAGTTTTCCTCAAGGCTGCTTCATCACTACACATAGACCTCCCTACTTCTTTGTCGATAGGGTCTAGCCTAATAAAAAAAGGCCTCGATTTGCATACCAATAATCTCAAATTCGAACCTCCACTATACCTTAGCATAGTATGCCACCAACAACAAAAAAACCTCCTACCCCTTTGATTTTTTACCAAGGATGAGAATAGGGGGACTATTCTTTTGTCCGGACAAGACAAGGACAAGAAATTAATTGTGTTTTATTGTGGTTTATTGCATATGCATGTTGGAATAGTACCTTATCCCTTAGGGCACAACTGCAGAAGCAGGGCCATATAGATAGTGTGGAGGACAACCTAGACCAACCTTTTGAAGGGTTTCTAGGATTATGTCCCATATAATGATGAATTATTGTGGTAACATTATATACTTTATTTCCATGGACTGACCAAAGTTTAGTATAGTATATATTTAGTCATGGTCAAGAGCTTGCTAACAAGAAATTCTTAGTCTACCCATATATCATGAATTTGATAATTAAAGTTTTAATAGGAGATTAGTTTGCTTAACGGCTAGTCTATAGATTTTTTTGGTCTAGAGAATAGGACCTCATACCTAATCTTATAAAGGTGTAATATGTCTTTGTTGACTAAAGAATTTGGTTTTAGGGATTTAAAATCCCCACCAAACATCGACTTGGGATTTTCAGAATCACTAGAAAAAAGATATAAATGATTGGTTGGCGCTAATCGAACTTGACCTACAACTTCCATGCGTATCAAATGATTTGCACAGTTGACTAATATCGCAGGCACCGTCAACCTATGATCGCGAACTTTTCTTACCTTTGAGTCACATCAAATATGGGCTTACCCTGGAAAATGTACAGCCTCAAACCTAAGCCCAAAATTGTGTACAACTCCAAAAGAGGGCTTCCCCATGTTAAGGAAGGGAAAGGAAGCCCATAAAATATATAGATCCATACAAAATCAGGCCTAGCTACTCTTACAAGCAAAAGGGTCCATCCATTAGACCGATTTTGCCTTTCTGTGTTTTTTAATATGAGCGACGGTTTAAACTACGGTGAGAGGAGGGGGGTTTCACGCGCACACACACAGGTGCTAAGGGGTTCAAATCTTCACTGGTCTTCAAGTCACTGTTGACTTATTTTCATCATTTTGGTTTGGACATAACAAAAAGGAAATTAAAATTGGTTAAGTTTGAAAGAACAAATAAAGAATTAAATTGTAGGCACCATAACAATTTCCTTCCCGTTGAAGTTTCCAACAATCAAATACCTGTTTTTTATTCTCAGTTTCTTGCGTACAAAAAAATTTGCAGTGCAAATCAGAGCATGACCAAGACTTAATAACTCATCCCACGAGAAAAGACAAATCAACTGGGACCCAAGGGCACTATGCAGATTGGTCCCCTCCACCAGAAAGACAAAAGACACCTTCCTGTGAGGGAAGCACCTTACTCTTTTTCCACCATCACTTCTTCATCGTGCCCTTCTGTTTCCACCAATAACCCTATCTCAACAAAACAACAAAACCTGAAAAGGGTCCCCTCCCAATTTTCACCACATAAAAACTTATGTGTCAGATAAAGTTCAATTTATAATCGTACACTAAGGCACTTTGGAAATTGGCATTTGATTGATGTCGCTAAGATGGGAAATTTTGAAAGCTCCATCCTCAAGATTGGAACTGTTTCCTATGAAATTATGAGGCTCAGAGGACCACTTGTCTTGGATTTGCAAGCTAAGAAATAAAATAAATAAATATAATTTCAGCAGAATATTGCAGTGTATGACTAGACGTCTAGAAATTCTTCAATTAATGGTCAGTGCTGCTGCTCATGGCAATGGCTCAGTTTTGCTTCTCTGCTTCCTTGTGTTACAATTCTTGCCTCCCAAGAAATGCAACTCTTTCTCTCACACTTTGTAAGCCACTGAAAAATGGGGTCTTTAGCTTCAACACAATCCAATGTTGTACGAGCCAGAGGGAGGCCATTGAACATTCTGATAATGGGTTGGCTAGTTTTCCTGAAAAGCACTTGCATAGGAAGTCAGCTACTAGTACTAAAGCACCCCCTCCTAGACCGCGCCGGATAATCTTGGTTCGACACGGGCAGAGTGAAGGAAATGTAGATGAGAGTGTTTATACAAGAGTTTCTGATCCAAAGATTGGACTGACAGAGAAAGGGTTGGAGGATGCTGAGCAATGTGGGAAGAGGATCAGGGAAATGATTGAGAAAGACAAAGTGCATAATTGGAAGGTCTACTTTTATGTGTCCCCTTATAGAAGGGGAATTGAAACTCTAAAGGGTTTAGGAAGAGCATTTGAGCGCTCAAGAATTGCTGGCATGAGAGAAGAGCCTCGGCTAAGAGAGCAAGACTTCGGTAAGTGTCAATTTACTAAAAACAATTGGAACACTACTTGTAACAAGGCTATGTTAACAAGACTTTGTTGCAATTTTTTCCATGAAAAGGGAATTTTCAGGACAGGGAGAAGATGAGAGTAGAGAAAGCCATTCGAATGCTTTACGGTCGCTTCTTTTACCGGTTTCCTAATGGGGAATCTGCAGCGGATGTTTATGACAGGATTACAGGTATAGCTTCTACAATTTTGTCAATTTATTGATCAGTTTGAAATGTTAGGCTTAGGAACTCTTGAGACAATGCAGGATTCAGAGAAACATTGAGAGCAGATATCGATATAGGTCGATTTCAGCCACCAGGGGAGAGAAATCCAAACATTAACTTGGTAATAGTTTCACATGGACTAACACTGAGAGTGTTTCTCATGAGATGGTACAAATGGACAGTGGAGCAATTTGAGAGGCTGAATAACTTTGGCAATGGAGGCGTGGTTGTTATGGAAAGAGGTTATGGTGGAAGGTAATTAATTAAATCCTCTGCTGCTGCGTTCTTTGGAATTGAGACTCAGAAGTTAAGCTGCATTTATAGAAAGCTCTGATATCTGCAGGTACAGCTTGTTAGTGCACCACACAGAAGAAGAGCTAAGGGAATTTGGATTGACAGATGATATGTTAAGTGATCAGGAATGGTAAGGCAAAATTTCGTTGTAATGAGGTCTCATTTCTGTTTAGCACTCTGACCTTGGTGTTTTTTTTTTTCGGGTGTGTGGGTTCTAATTCAGGCAAAAATATGCAAAACCTGGGGAGCTGAACTATGATTGCCCAACACTAAATTCCTTCTTCTCGCACTTCGACAACGATTGTGGTGATGAAAATGAAAACAAAATCAACAGCAGCTAGTGAATATGATATATAGTAAGAAACAGCAGTTGCTTAGGATTTAGCTTAGGAGAAACTCTGTATGTTGTAATATTTGAAGTAGCATGTTGTAAATTGAACCTCAGAAGTCAGTTAAAAAAGAAATTCAAGTGTTTTCTTCTTCTTCTTATCTGTTTTTTTTTTGCCTGATGTTTTCACGCATAATGCATAAGCCACTAATTTTTCATCTGCTCAATCTGCAAAATGTTGCTTCACTGCTTTATCTTTACAGAGAAGTTTAAATCAGAGAACAAACTCAAAATCCATGACCAATATGAAACATAATTCATAGAGGTTTTGCTGGTCAGAAAGTAAAGCTAAAAACGTTGGTAAAGCTTAAAAAGGGAATAGAAAATGGAGATGCGGGGTATCGATCCCCGTACCTCTCGCATGCTAAGCGAGCGCTCTACCATCTGAGCTACATCCCCTTCTTGCAACCTTAAGTCGTTTTGTTATTTTTAATTTAGCTGTTATGTAATTGAGAGTTGGAAACAGAGTAATCGCAGATAAAAAAATGAAAAAGATTTTAACGTTCACAAAGGGGATGTAGCTCAGATGGTAGAGCGCTCGCTTAGCATGCGAGAGGTACGGGGATCGATACCCCGCATCTCCATTTTCTTGTTCTTTTTTAAGCTTTACCAATGCTTTTAACTTTACTTTATGGAAATTATTATAACAGTTAAATAAAATTCTAAAAACGACTTAATCTTCCACAAAGGGGATGTAGCTCAGATGGTAGAGCGCTCGCTTAGCATGCGAGAGGTACGGGGATCGATACCCCGCATCTCCATTTTCTTGTTCTTTTCTTCATTTACCAACGCTTTTTAACTTGATAGAAATTGAGGTTTTTTTTTTCCCCTTTATTTTTTATGAGAAGCACAGATTTTATTAATATAAAAAAGAAGAAGAAAAAACTATATCAATACAAACAGAGTGGGCTGTGCATTCAAAGCCAAAGTAACATTGCAGAATATCTAAACTACAAAATAAAGAGAAATTTAAAAGACCTCCATTTTCCATTCAGCACGAATAAGCATGAAACGCGACATCCCAGAATTCAAAGGAAACACAACTCCAAATGGATGTCCAAAACGAACTCCATCCCCCAAGTCCTCTGCTTCTCCTAGAATTTTAAAAAACCCTCTTGTTTCGTTCCATCCATATACCACCACACCAGAAACAAGCCATCAATCGATCTGTATTTCGCCACTTCTGAGCTACTCAATCAGTTATAGCTAAACCTAAGTCCAGAACTAACATGGTGAGAATATGGTTATAGAAACCAGCATATTACAAAGTAGAGCATATAACAGGTTTAGTCCACCGTTATATGCCAAAGACAAGTTAGCTAATAACATTATTTTCAGAGAGATAGAGAGACAATCACAATTTAGATGTCACCCAATATAAATGATGTCCCATTTAAGATGACTAGGAAGACCAAAATACCAAAATAAGTAACAAATCGAACTAAACAAGCAATTTCTGAATTTTATCCCAAAAAAATATGAACATTGCCCTGATATGCACCAATATGTCTTATCGTCTTCCCAACTAAACCTAGGTACATTCGGTCAAACCATAACATCATGCACCAATCTGAAAGCCAAATACTTCATAAGGGGGTTCCAGGCATGGTTTTCAAAGTAAGAAGATCAAAAGATAACCAATTAAGAAGAAAGGTGAGTATAGCGACCCAAACCCAAGGGCACCATTTTCCCTGCACTGTGGAACTATTAACTTCTATGAGTTCTCAATGGTTGCAGTTGTAATTCGTAATGACGGTGACCTTTCCTGCTCACCATTCCGCCTCCAAAAGGCTCGCCTCCACCAAACTTCGAATCCTCTTTGTATATTTGGGCAATCTTCACCAGAATTCAAGAACCTATTAAACCAAGCCAGCAAAATTTCCTGTTGCCATGCTAAAGGCAAGGTAAGAATTGTGTTGCTTAGACCATCCTCAATTGAGTGCCTATCCAGGCCTTTTGACGCCCTCCTCATCCATGCAAAATCATCATAAAATGGCACCAACCAAGTTTGTAAAAGCAAGAACCTCACATCCTTGGAAACCAATAGCTGCCCCTTCCCAAGCCCAACAAAGAGACGAGCAGTAACTCTGCTAACTTCGTACCTATAAACTGCAGCCACTTTGGAATGTGCCTCAGATAATTCAATTTGAGATGCCCATGTTTTTAAGAAATCCTCAGCAATCTGTCTGTCAATCAAAATATCCAAAATCCAATGCAAATTATCGGCTTGCCTTGCAATCTGCCCCACATCTTGCAAGTCTGACTCTGCTGCCCGAGAAAAATGGTGGCGAAGCAATTCCAAACACCCATCACAAGCTGAGTACAAGGACTCTTTTCGGAGATCATTATGAGATGAATTCTCACGAAGCATCTTTGACACCAATCCTTTCATCTCACGCCTTGCCTTCTCATCTTTTCCTTCAAGAACCACATGCAGAAGCTTTAAAAGAACTTCTTCATTGTCATTACCCTCTTCAGTTCCATTAGCAACTTCCACAGAGACCCTCTTCAGTACTTCCCCAGCTCCAACGCCTTCAAGGCGGAGCTCAAACATCAGTGATGCCACCTTCTCCTCTTCATCCTCAGCCCATGGGGCAGCTTCTAAGTACTCCAAACAAGACAAAACACCCGCATCGAACCCAATTGCAGCCGAAACCTAAAGCACGCGGAACACCCACAATGTCATCATTCACATAATCAGGATGTCCTTGTTGGCTTGCAATAAATAATCCAAAGACAAATTTAAGTTTAAAAAGATTAGAACAATTGGCTTTTGATCTATTTTCATTCCAAATACAAACCCACTCACCTAAAATTGTTCTAATTATGTACCAAGCTACACTTTCTAAGCAATCAAACGTAATACCCAACTTAACCAGAAAAAAATAGAAATTAAACACAAAATAAAGATTAGAACTTCACCTTCAAAATGCCAAGCACTTTTGGAACATCCTCCTTCATCAACCTCTTCCTCAGATCCTTACAATACATCAACCTCAAGGCCTCGATATAAACCTCCACGTCATCACAATCCGCAATCTCCACATTGTACGGCGACGAAGACGACGTCGTTCTCTGCTGCTTGACCCACCTATCCGAGAGCTTCACCGCAAAGAACCGACTGTGCGCAACGAGAATCTGACGGTGCACATTCATCGACACGCTGAACCCGTCTTTGGCGCTCAACGTGAGTTTAATGTCACTGCTCGACGGGTCGTTGAACTGGTTCCCGGGGCTCCGAGACCCCAGCAAGAGATCAGAAACCCTCTGCATCATCAACGCCTGCTTATCCTGGACCAAACCCACATGGGTTTTGCGCCCGCTTCCGGAACCGACGCCATTCTGGTGGATCTGGGGCTTGGGTTGGGCCATTTCGGGCTCGTTGGCCATCATTTCGAAAAGGGTCGGACTGGACCGGGTCGTCTTATCGGGCTGCGGCGGCGGCGACATCGGGTTCAACAACCCGGCCGTGAGCATGCTATTAAATCTGGTGAAGCTGGAATTAAACGAGTCGTTTTGACCCGAGTGCCCATTAGTCAACGCGGGGCTGAAGTCCATGACCGGAGAGCGACTGCCCGGCGCGAATCGGATCCGGAACGATGATGGCGAAGAAGAAGGAGATGGCCCAGATGGGCAAGCCTGAACCGGGTCGGATTTGTGATTCGGGTTAATGGGTTGTTGCGGGCGTGGCTGGACAGAGACGGGTTTCGAGTCTTTTAAGGCAAAACAGCACCAGGAGCTCTCTGGGGAGACAATGGTGGGCGGGTCGAGTTTGCGGGTCGGGTTGGGAGCAGGTGCTGGTGAGGAAGATAGATGGGTCTGGCGGCACCTGCGGCGTTTGGGTTTAGTTGGGTTTGTTTGAGACTTGAGATGAGTAGTGGTACTAGTAGTTGTGGTGGCTGCAGCTGCCATGAAATATTGAAAATCGCAAAAAAATGTAATGTCCCTTATAATTGTTGTTGCTGTTGTCCTTTAGTTTAGAGATGGGTCTATCCTTTTTTTCTTTTCTTTTTTGGTATATTTTTTCTAGTTTTCTTTTGGGTATTGACAAAGAAAGTGAATTAAAAATGGCGGTGTAAACGAGATGGATCAGAAGTAAAAAAACATGAAAAAAACAGCAATGAAAGACTGAGAAAGCATTTAAGCTGTGAGAGAGAGAGAGAGAGAGAGAGAGAGGGTCCTAAATATCTGGCTTTGTTTGTCAGTATTGACAGAGAGAGAGAGTTTAGAGGCGAAAGAGATGAAAAGCTGAGGTTTTTGTGATTTCTTTTTCTTGATGGCTCCGCTGGGAGCAAAAGCTTTGGAAGTGTCAGAATAAAAAAGGGCAAGGGAGGAGAGGGAGGAGAAGAAGCATGGCACATAGAGCATAGGATGAATGGCCGGTTAGCCCCACAATGTCTTTGGCTTTGGCTTTGGTTTTGGTTTCTTTTCTTTTCTTTTCTTTGTGCAGCAGATGCTGATGCTGATGCAGAATCAGCAATCTTGTGACACTGTCTTTTGTGATTCATTGCTTGCTTCAATTGGTGATTGGTTTGATTGTGCTATGTGCCAGATGTTTGTTTTTGGTATTTGCTCGGTTTTGGCATCTGCTTGCCTGCTTCAGTTTTTGGGGCACTCCTTATGGGTTTATGGTCCCTTTGGGCCATTGGGTGCTTCCAATTTGTACAAAAGGATTTGATTTGTGATGATTTTTTAGACATGGGTTTCATGATGTCATATTCAATCACTCTTTTTGAGTCTCCCAAAAGGATAAAATATGTTAATGGGATATTTCTGCCTGTCATGTTCACACAGTAATTTTAATTTCAATTTTAATTTAATTAATAATGGTCATTAAAGTAGGAACTTATTGTTGGGATTGCACTGTTTAAGCTGTAATAATTTAGATTATTGTTTTTGTTGGTGTATTGAATTATTCCTCTCTCTCTCTCTCCACAAAATTCATGTTGCACTTTAAAGACTGAAAATGATTGAGAGTGACCAAGCAGAGGCTAGTTATATATCCACTATAACTGCTCAAGGAGCCTAAAGTTTAAGCATATCTATAGGTCGGCATAAGCCATTCCCCAAGCAATTTGAAAAAGTTCATGGTCCATGAAACAATATTCTTATTTTCCATAAAGAGTGTCAAGTATATATCTGATGAACCCTATTTCAATGGTATTATTACACTTTCATATTCGAGAAACGAAAACTCACTTCGACACTTAACTTACTGTGTCAAATTTCAACAATAGTAATATTGATAAAAATAACCTATTATTTATACGAACTTCACATCTTAACAACAAGAGTGACAAATGTAATGAGAAAGATAATTAGTGTGGAAGAAACTATCCATTAGCATGGTATGGAACCAAGATACCTTTAATTTGTTTCCAAGCTACTTGACATGAAAGTTCCGCTGTATAATATATTTTTGACTTCAAAAGGGTTTGCAAACTTTGCATCAACAAGTGGAAGAAAGTGAAGGAGGGGGTGCTCAAATCACAAGTTAGATCGATTTATTTTATTTAGTTGATAAATTATAACGGAAGACAAAAAGGTTGTTCGATTATTATAAAAGATATACTAAGCTTTTCCAACCACAACTCATTGTGTTCATCTCTGCTTTCACTTTACTTGATACCATGGCATTTTCTGGTTTCATCTGATATGCCTCTCTCTCTCTCTCTCTCTCTCTCTCTCTCTCTCTCTCTCAAATTGATTTCCTTCAAAATCTCTCTCATGGGTGGCTTAACCAAACTCTTTGTCATGCTCTTTTTGCTTTTAGCTGTATAGAAAACACCATTGGAAAATTCCCTACTTTCTCACCAAAAACAGAAGCAAGAAGGTAAGTATTAAACAAAGTCTTGGCCCACCCTAATAATTTTGGTTACCCACTATTCTTCTTTGACTATAAAGTGAGAGAGAAAATTACCAGGATGAAAATGGTGGCCTTCATTTTGGTAAATTGCATGATTTTGTGGAGTGGCAGAGGTTGAACAACTAGTATTAACTCTCATTGAAGAAATAAAGACAACCATTTCTACTTTCTTTATTTTTTGGTCAAGCATTTGGTTGGATGTGTCGAATGTTCGTTGGGGCTCAAAGGCAAAGGCCCCATAAGAAGAGACTTCACTTTTAGCTTTTGCATTCGTATTTTTTCTATGGTGTGTTAAGACTTGTCACTTGAGAGCATAGACCTTTGCTTCTTGTCTTTTGCATATTCTAGCCTAAACCAACTATAAATCTTTCACTTTCAAACATCATACCAAATATGTTGGCTAATGTCCTCGGGGTTCTAATTTATATGGATTCTCTCATTTTTCTATAAGGTTTAGTAACAGTACTCCATTAAAACCTTTCTATAAGGTCAAGGTTACAGAGATGTCCTCAAGGAGAAAATTTTCATGTCATTAGATGTACACAATTATGTGGTTATCTCTTATATCATGTGATACGATGAAAAAAATAATCATGTAAGGTTGTGTTTGGTATGCCTCATTGGACTGGAGTAGCTTAAATAATACTTGAAACCCATGTTTAAGAAGAGAGGAAACTAACTTAAATGATATTATACAGACCAACAGTGAAAGAAAAAAAAACCTCACTTGCTCCTCTAATATAGCAAAGTTGAAAAGCGGTTCGCAAAATAGCACCCATGCTAAATAGAACACGCGAGTTTGAACTAAACCAATTTCTAATCGCGAGAAAGAGGGCGATGACGAGAGAGAGAGAGAGAGAGAGAGAGAGAGCAAGCAACGACGATGGAACGAGAGAAGATGGTGACTGAATGCAAAAATAAACCTTAGATGTGACACACGGCTCTCCTCGCGTAGCGAGAGAGCGACCCGTTCTTTACTTGCCTGATGCTGAGAGATTGCAATACCTTACTTCCTCGGATTATGTGCCATATTATTCTAACTTTTGGATATTCTAAATATGTGAGCTGCACCATATGACATTATAGATGGGAACGTAGTGAGTGAGAACTTAGGCTAGAAAATTGGATCTGAGTGGGCTTCAAGGCAAATTGTGAGTGGTGGGATAGGAACAACGGATTGGGCTAATTTACATGTAATTTCATTCAAACTTCAAAATCATTATTGGAAAGAGAGGAGAGAATTTGAGTGTAATTTGGATTCTGTTTGTAAGGTTGTGTGTGTGATTTAGGGCTGTAGAGAATAGTTGTAGTTATTTGGTTAACAGTGAATTTTCAATCTCCCTCTTCCATAGATGCTACAAGTTCATCACTAAACCGTGCTTTTTTTTTCTTTTTTTTTTTTTAATCTTTGCTAAATATTTGGATACTTCTTCTACTGTTTACTATGTGTGTGTCTTTTCACAGTATTAAAGAAAGCTGATCATTGGCCAAGGAAAAAACAGAAAGAGTAGGTTTATGGTGCGTGTAAGACGAGGTTTATAGCTTTAGTGGTAGAGCACTTATCTCTGCACAATTATAATAAAATTTCAGAATTTAATTATGTTATTCTTCTAGTAATAAAAATTCATATCCCTCATTCACAACTGGTTTATACCCACAATCAAATTGGGATGTGAATTACCTACACTTTACTACCGTTAATTGTTAAGTAAGAAAATTACAGTTTACTCCAGTCATAATTATATATGACTCATCAAATGGGCTCATGTCATACAGGCTTGGTTAGCCATTGCCCATTGGATGTGTAATATGTGGCTGGCCTTACAGACTTGTTAATCTTCGAACCCAATAACAAAAAATAGTTACCTTTACCTACAATTTTACTTGATGGGGCAAAAAGAAATGAGGTCCTAAAAGAAGTCAAAGCCAAGGCCAGAAGGAAAACTTTTTAAGATTGGGCCCAAGACTCCTTAGAGTTTTACTTTCTTTTTCTTGTCTTTTGTTTTTTGGAATAATATGATGGTGGTGGTCCAGCATAATTGTTAGGGAATGTGCTCTTTGGGCTTGTATTACTAAATGAAAACAAATGATTTTTTTGTTGTTGGGAAATTTGCATAAATACAATCTGAACTTATAAGCATGTGCGTTATTACCACCTGAACTTTTCATTTTTATTTTTAACCACCTAACCTTTGTAAAGTGTAGTAATTCACCACCTACATATAACTCTGTTAAAGCTTCCGTTAAGTTTAAGGGTATTTTTGTCAATTAACTATAATTATAAATAAAAAAGTATATATATGAAGAGGTGGTCATGGTGTTGTGCGGTTGATTTTCATATATGATCACCATACGATCAGACCAGGGCACAACCACAAGAACTTTAGAAGGCGTCAATTTCTGCCATCACCATAAGATTATGACCTTCAGCACCTGTTGAACCTTTTTTTTATTTTTTATTTTTATTTTTTAAATTTTGTATTTTAACAATTATTTTTAGTTATTGTTAATTAATGAAAATACTCTAAACTTAACGGAAATTTTAACGGAGTTATACGTAGGTGGTGGATTGCAACACTTTATAAAGTTTAGGTGGGTAAAAAAAAAAAAAAAAAAAAAAAGTTCAGGTGGTAATGACGCACATGCCTAAAAGTTCATGTGGTATTTATGCAAATTTTCCTTTTTTTTTTTAATAATACAAGCGATACTCTAAATTACTAGAATTTTTCACATACACTATCAAGGTGTCTTTGGAGTTCGAATCTAAGACCATTGATTTGCAAGTCAATATATTTTTCCACTACACTAGCCCCTGTCGGCAATGAAAACCAATAATTTTAAAGTTTGGTAGTAATGGAAATTGGACAATGATTTATCACTGAAATCTGACCTTAAATTTGTTGCAAGTTCACATAATTATACTGAGACCCACATTACCAAATTAAAAAATTAAAAAATTGAAATTTGTAATTATTTTGTGTTGATGTTGATTAACCTTAAAGAAAGTGTCACATGATGAGTGTCAAAAATGGAATGTGACCAAAATATTGTATTTGTAATTATTTGTCATGATGTTGATTAAGCCTAGCGCATGTTTGGAAGTTCTTTTTAGCAGCCTTAAAAAGCATTTTAAATAATATAATAGCTTTCTCTATTATTTATTTATTTGTTGTGATGATAGGCTTAGGCTGATAGCGATACCTTTTAAGTCTTGAACAAAATATAGAGTGGAAAATGACTGAAAGTAATTTATTATTAATTAAGCGTGCAATGACTGTTAAACAATTCATTATAGGAAAATACTTTGCTCATTATCATGTAAGTATGAGCTCCTACATTCCTGGCAATAGCAGTGTGATATGTATGCATAAGTTTCTCGAAAAAGAAATCTCTTATAGAGAAGAAAAATTGTCATTTTCGTTGACAAAAAGAAGATAATCAACCATTATTTAGTTAACATCACTACCACCGCCAGTGGCGAAGCCATGATTTCATGTGTGTGAGGGCCTCTTACAAATTATAAAAAATCAAAAATTCGAACTCATAAT